CAATAAATAAATTGCCAGAAGACATTGGTGAAGCACATTTCTGATCACACAGTAGTTTAGTTTAGGAGTATTTGAAATGATGTCTCAAATATATGCGACTTTATATCACATACTCCAGTAATATCGGGATTAATATAATTCTTAATATCATATCAAGGAACATTGTTGAGCTATTGAGAAATTTAGTGATTGTCTTCCATGATATGAAAAATCTTTGCTTGCATGGACTAATCAGATCACCTGTATTTTTATTAAATGATATGGAGATATAAAATTCGTGCGTTTTATTACGCTTAATTGTCATAGTATATGACATAAAGACAATTAAGACACACTGACACAAGGTTAATTACCTTTCCAGTCACAGGTATCCCACGAATGAGGCACATTGCTCATGTTATATTTCGTGTTTTTTTTTTTAGAGTGACGATGGCGTTCCTGGCCATGCTGCATTTAGATCTTCCTGGTTATATGAAAATAAAGGGCAAGTACCTCTCCATATTCGGAAATGAGTCATTAAATGCAATTAAATATAATAATGAATAATTATATTCATACATTAACAATATAAGACTGTAACTGAGAGTGCGAAATATTACGCATTGAAATCACATTGATATTATATTATATATATATAAAATATATAATAATATATATATATATAATTGCTAAGACGCGCGTCACTGTACCATGTATTTCTATGGGCTCTGCGCGAGCTGCTGTGGAACGCCGATCGAAGAGCCGGTGAAATTCGAAGCTAAATTTGAGAAAACAGTACAAACTCAACTTCTAAAAACTCAAATTTATATATGTTGCACACGTAGGGCTAATCTTGTTACACTGTTCAGGGGTGTCTAAACAACAATTCCAAAGTACCGTTTTTTGGGAGTTTTCGACCTTTGTTTCACCGTAATGGTTGCCAGGCAGTGAAAATGCCCGGATGTCCGCCCCCAAGAATATGGTATTTCTTGATTATGTCACGTGTCATGCTGCAGAAGAAAATATTCGCACAGTAAAATCTTATTTTTGTATTTATATTTATAGATTTATATCAATAAAAAATCAACCATCTACAAAAAATGTGACCCATGTTCCCTCCATCGCCAATAAGAGCGACAGAAGAGGACAATATTTCAACAAAGGATCAAACCTGAAAACAATTTCTGATATAACTCGTGACTTCGCCATGAAAACAACATCACACGGCGTCGCCAGAATAGCGCAAGCAGGGACAAGGGGTTCAAAACTGTTATGGGCATGCGTGGTTGCTGCTGCTTTCTGTGCATTCACTGGTCAATTCGTGGCATTGGTCGTCAGGTATTTGGAATATCCAGTCAATATTAATATTGGCGTTGTTTCCAGAAACACACTTCCGTTTCCTGCGGTGACCATATGCAATACTAACAAAGTACGCAAGTCAGCTGTGCTAGAGAGTCGGTACAATGCATTATTGGATATCGATGACTTCGCTGAAAGACGAGGATACTTAACATATATAGGTACGTGGTTAACGCAATAAACTTTTTCTATCAATCGCGCCCTCTAGTGGTGCAAGTGAGTGGCACGAAAACGTTAAACGAGTAAACATTGATTTGATCTGTCGATTGTGTTTAGGAGATTTTTTCGATGACGAACGATTACACAACCAAACACAGTTCTAAATTAGAATGACTTCCTTATATAGATCAATTTGACGTCACAGAGGCACTACGGAACTAGAGGGCGCGATTTACGGGGATGGTGTATTCTGTGTCGTGTGTGAATACTGTATTTAGTCAGTCGCAATTTATATTTTCAATAACATGTTATTTTGCTATTCTGTATAGGTCCATGTATGCCTGGCGATGTACCGTGTGATGTAGATGAAAACCAATGTGTAAAATCCTACATGAAATGTAATGGCGTCAATGATTGTGCAAATGGAGGCGATGAAGCTGACTGCGACTATGGTAACAATGAATAACGATAAGCGAAATACTTTACATGAGTAGTTGTATTGTTACTGGGGACGTGTTTAGATGACATTTCCGCTTGCATCTTAATCTGTCAAAGCATTTGTGAATGTCTTATTCAAATGAGATTAAACTATTATTGGTATGTTTTCATTTGGTCGCATTGACGAAATGTAAATTGGAGAGATATAATATAGCCGCTGATTCTGTGAGATTTATTTTGGACTAATATAAATGAAGCATTAACAAAGCATGGTGTAGCTTAGTGGAGAACGTCTGTAATAGTAGGTGTCCATAGTCAGTATTAAGATGGTGAATGCCGGGGTCACGATTTGAAACTTACAATCAGAGCTCGGTAAATAATTATTCCAATCTGTTATTTTGTAGGTGAATGTTTTGAAGGTGAATTTCAGTGTCCAAACGGTAAATGTATTCCTGCCAGTTCACAATGTGATTACAGAAATGACTGTGAAGACAACACTGATGAGAAAGATTGTGTATTTCGTATGTAATATTGTAGTTATTTCACATTTTATTTACATATTAATATTCTATATCGAAGTCATTCTCGATTGAAGAAGTAGACACTGAATTGTGGATTTTTCCAAAATATTTTCTTATTTTTCGATATTTTGTAACAATAACCAGACAAAACAAATTTAACGAATTGTTTGGATACAAGGCATTTAAAATCCAATTGTTAGGAATTTCAAACTAGATTAATAACGTACACAGTAATTATAATAGATCGTTAATTATTTTAACGATGCTATTTACAGCATTTAGAAATATTTACTTTGAAATTAATGTTTCAATATTGTGAAGCTAAAATGTTCCTTTACTTAACTCAGTGTGTAGTAAACTAAAATTGGTTTTAAAGTCTGATATGATTTGTTTAACAATACTTAAATTTCGTCACCATAGCGTCGTGTGCTGCTGATGAATTCACGTGTACAAATCATCAATGTATATCTCCATCTATATTATGCGATGGCATTGCTGACTGTTATGATGGCAGTGATGAGGTCATTAGCCAACATTGTCTCTATCCGAATAGTAAGTATTGATTGGTATTTATTCGTATTTATTCGTCTACGAGTTTGTTTGTACTCACTGTTTTTATCGTTTTTATTATTAATTACAGGTGTTTGTCCAGCGGACTACTTTCGTTGCATCAATGGCGAATGTATACATTACACATTAAGATGCAACATGTTTAACGAATGTTCTGATCACTCCGACGAAGCTGGCTGTGACACAAGTAAGTAATGTGTCTTTTTCTGAATTCACTCGCATTTGGGGTTTCAATCATTCATCGAATTTACATAACTCATCGCTCTCGCCAAGAACATATTTATGTTGAGTATCTAAAACAATTAAATCGAATTGCTGCTCAATAGGTGATTTTCCGTTCAACTGCGAGATCTCGCGAAATGCATGAAAGACGCGCGTCGAACGTCTGCCGCAATTATCGAACGATTTGATTTTGAACTCGAATTTCTTTATTTCGTGCCTCACATCGACCGGCCGATCTTCGACAGAGGAATATTGCTTTCGAATACCCTCACTTAATTGAAATTGTTTATCATCAAATGTGGACAGCACATTATTAAGCATGGAAATGTCCCCAAAATATTTTCGCGTTTGTCGAATCCCACGCGATGTTTGACACCACTACGACGCTATGACTATTGTTTGTCCTGTTTTTATGTTCGATTTCACGCATAACGCGTGATTCTCGCAGTGAACGGAAAATGGTATATTAATATTTTGATAAAAGCGTAAGTGATATGACCTGTTATCAACCGGGACTTAAATGTATGTTGGTAGTTGCGTTGTATCAATGTCAACTTTTAACACTACGGATATATTATGAGTTATTGAAAAGTGTATGTTATAATTGTACTTATTCGTTTTTTTCAAGATGTCTGTCCTGAGAATTTCTATAGATGTCGTCTTTTAGGTCAATGTATCCCATCTGCTGCGTACTGTGATCATAAATCCCATTGTTTAGACCATACAGACGAATACCCGTGTTTAGATGCACCATTATTACGTAAGTTGATTTACTTTCCTGACTTTCTCCCTTCCATTAAATAAAGTCTTATTTAGCTTTATTAAATCCGAGACCGATTGTGGACCTTGTATATGGACAGAGAATGATCAATGATCTTTACTTCCCTTGTCTGCTTTTGTTAAAGCGGGGGAGTCGTCACCTGCGCATGCGCCAGATGGCCAAAGCGTGTCAATGTTTACAAACAAG